TGGTTGGGTGGTTGGGTGGTTGGGTGGTTGGGTGGTTGGGTGGTTGGGTGGTTGGGTGGTTGGTTGGTTGGCTGGCTGGCTGGCTGGCTGGCAAGCTGGCTGGCTGGCTGGCTGGTTGGTTGGTTGGTTGGTTGGTTGGTGTTGTTGTTGGTGGTGGTGGTGGTTGTTGTTGTTGTTGTTGTTGTTGTTGTTGTTGTTGGCTGTTGGCTGTTGGCTGTTGGTTGTTGTTTGTTGTTTGTACTTGTTGGTTGTTGGTTGTTGGTCGTTGGTCGTTGTTGGTTGTTGGTTGTTGTTGGTTGCTGTTGGTTGTTGTTGCTTGTTGTTGCTTGTTGTTGCTTGTTGTTGTTGGTTGTTGGTTGTCGGTTGTTGGTTGTCGGTTGTTGGTTGTTGGTTGTTGGTTGTTGGTTGTTGGTGTTGTTGTTGTTGTTGTTCTTGTTCTTGTTCTTGTCCTTGTTCTTTTTCTTGTTGTTGTTCTTGTTCTTGTTCTTGTTCTTTTTCTTGTTGTTGTTGTTGTTGTTGTTGACAGCAAGTTGGGCCTATCTTGACACACCTGGGGCCTACATTAAGCCTAGCTTGAGCCATCTTGGCACTATGTTGGACCATCTTGGGGCTATGTTGGTGCTATGTCGGGCCATGTTGGGTCTATAATGGGACCATCTTGGTCCTATGTTGGGCCATCTTGGGGCTATGTTGGGCCATCTTGGGGCTACGTTGGGCCATCTTGGGTCTATGTTGTGCCATCTTGGGGCCAGGTTGGGCCTAAGTTGGGCCATCTTGGGGCTCATCTTGGGCCATCTTGGAGCTATGTTGGGGCTATGTTGGGTCAAGGAGTGCCCCCCTGAAGTAGTTATGTTGGATTTAACATGTTTTTTTCGAAGAGCAAAAAATGCCAAAAACACCGTAAATTACGGGGGCGGGAGGGGGGCATGCGGCAGGCGGACCTCCGGGTACCTAAAGGTACGGCCCTAACGGGCCGGGGGCTTTGCCCGTTGCCAGGGCCTGCTGGCCCGATTTAAGGGGCTGACGCCCAACAGCGGGCCAGCAGGCCAAAAGGTGCAGGGTGGGGTGGTGGCAGAGTCGTGGTTGCCGCTGCTGCTGCTGCTGGCTGCTGCTGCTGCTGCTGGTGGTGCTGTTGCCGTTGTAACTGCCGCTGCTGCCGGTGCTGCTGCGTCGGGCTGCTTGCGGACTGTCTCTCTTTACTCTTTCGTCAGGTCCAGACTGTTTGCATTAATATGACTGCTGTGGGTTAGGGTCAATGATGCCACCATGCGACACGCACTGATCCCAAGCCTAGGCCTAGAGGGCCTAGAGATTCCCTCATTGGCCCTTAGATGCCCCAGACACTCCTTTTTGGCTTTTGCTCTGCAGCGCTCGCCTTCAGCATTTCTCGTGGGGTGGCAGCCCCAATCTTTTGATTTAAAGTTCTCAACTTGGCATCGCTAGACCTGGGAAACCTTCTAGTCAATAATAATCAACAACCATTGATGAACCCTGGATCAACTTTGGCTAACAATTCGCTAATTCGGTGGCACAAATGTTAGCCAGCGACACCACCACGACCTGACCCAGTACTAAACCTGACATGACTCAGCTGCAGATTTGAGATAAAACGGGACAGCCGTCCAAATAGAGCATTGCTCTTACTGGCTGCTGGCGCGCTGTTCCCATTTCCATTTCGGGCAGCTGGACTCATAAGCTGTGCGTGTTGGTCGTGGCCCCAGCTACAACAGATGCTGACTACGAGAGCTTTTGACGGGTCAACTGCGTGCAGCAGAGAACCCCAAACATCCGAATGGATTTCCTTGCTATATACGTAGTCTCATGTAGTCTCTCCTTGTCTTCATGCCAGAAATCCATGTTCAGACCTTCCGTCATGGCCCCCAATCTGAAACGACTATCCCCAAGATGGAGAAATAGACGCTCAATCAGATTAGAATAGAACTCTTGCAGAGTCTTGCACTGCATGACATGCCCTGGAGCATCGAAAATCAACTATGAGGGGTTACTCTGCAATCTATAGTGCATTGAAGTGCCTAAAGTGCCTTGTGTTGAATTTCAATGACTTCAAGTCGCACTTGGCCCTGCCAGCTGCGAATCTCCGCCGGTCAAGTGCCTGCCTTTTTGACAGCACTGGCCCTGTACAACCCTGACAGCCGTGTGCCTGGCTTGGCGGAGTGAGCTGCCGGGGAGGATGCGCAAAAATGGATGGCCACAGCAAAAAACAAAATGTATGTTGAAACAGTTTGTAAACGATCAATGAACAACCAGAATCCCAAGTCTCAACCGGACAAGCATTTGCAAATGTATTCGCAAACGTGAAATCAAATGAATAGCCTGCCACTAAAAGCTCACCTTTCGGGCACGCGTTTCATGCCTGATTCTGGGGCAATGAATGTTCAAACTCATTTTCCACTGAATTATGGCTCTAATTTGCCGCATCGCAAGCAGTAAAAGATCCTTTGTGGCTTTCCATCCTCTTCGAAACATGCCGTCCTTTCTGGATTGGCTCCGCAAGTCTTGTCCCTGCGGCAATCGTCTCGCACCTCCGGTCTGCCACTTGGCGAATTCTGAATCCAAAGGTCCAAATATGGTCCAAAAGAGTAACAATGGATAGTAAGATTAAGGCGCTGCTTTGCT